AATAATTCAGCAAGCTATTTGGCTTAAAAGCACGAGTGTTTTATACTGGATGCTGGCTGAAGGTGTTTTAGATTACGCAGTAGTCAGTGGTTTTAATTCTGGATCAGTCAGGTCAAGGTAGCTCGTTTAGAGGTCTTTTGGCATCTCCCTGTGTTCCTGTTTGGTATCGCAAATTGACTTGTGCAATTTTTTTTATTAAAAGTGCTGTAAACTACTAAATGTAATGTACAAATTTTAATTTTCTGTGAAGCTGCTTCGCAACAGTGTATCATGAAAAGTGCTTTACACATAAATAAGAATTGAATTGCAAACAATTATTAATTAATTTATTTATTTTTTGCACTATATACATTCATTGCGAATTATGAAAATTAAAAAGTACTTTTTTAGTACTTTAGTTAGTATTTATTTTTGGGTGGGGGAGTGGGGTTGAGTACCGCCACTTCTTTTTTCTCTACTTCAAGCATTGATTGCGTATCATATGCATGCCAAAGTCAATTTCTGCGTATAAATTACGCTATTGATAGGCATATTCATAAGACCGGGCTCATTTGTTTTTTTTAAATGCCATAGCTGTCACACGTTATTAGCAGCTCACAATTATTTGTTGTACCATAAATGTAACAAAAAGGTTTTTAATAAAGTTAAAGGGGTCATATGATGCGATTTCAAGTTTTCCTTTCTCTTTGGAGTGTTACATGCTGATTGTGCATAGATAAGATCCCTGAAGTTGCAAAGACTAAAGTCTCAAAACCAAAGAGATATTCTTTATCAAAGTTAAGACTCTGCCACGCCCCCCTAAAACGGCTCATTCTAACACGCCCCCACATATCTACCCCACTATGTGGAAATATTTGCATAATGCACCCAAATGTGCACGCAAAGAAAGAAGGCATGGTTTCAGTAACCGCAGTTAGTGTTGAAGCAGCCATGTCAAGGAGACGCTGTGTGTTTCTAGGCGAAAGCAAAAGCACTTTATTTAGCCTTCCGAAAGTAGATGCATTTAGGAATCTTTAAGATTACTTACAACAGAACAGCAATGCATTTTATGGACGACCGTTTCATGAACCTAGGAGAGGAGGTGTTACACCAAATACACAAAATAATGATCTTTAAAACAAGCATCATATGACCCCTTTAATGTAATGACTTGTGTTTGATGATATTCGTCTATATTTACTTTGATTTATGGAGTAATGTGGATTTCTTAACCTGATAAACTAAAAGGATTTGTTAAAATAACACAGAGCAATAACATATAGGGCCTATTTTCACATCTATGCAAATGCATATAACATATTTGTAACTTAAATAAGTAATAAAAAAGAGACAGTTATTGAACAATAAAGAGTAGTAACATTTGTACAGTCTTACAGTTACAACTGGCCCTTTGATGGCAGCCATAATGTTGAAGTGACCCTCAGTGAAAATGAGTTTGACACCCCTTAGACACTTCCTGACTGTATGCTTCTGTATGTTTATGCATTGCATCTTTTTTAGGGGGTCAATTAATCTGACCACTTGACCTGTATCAGATGGTAGAAAAAAAGTTTTATTACAACAAAGTAGAAGGAGGGATGAGAGAGAGTTCTCACCCAATACTATTTAATCATAGTTGGGTCTGTTTTGAGTATGTAGTTCACATGACATGGTTCAAGTTTTCTGTGATTGTTTAGTCAGCCTGAACTAAATCCAGCACGGCCACCCCAAAGTGCAGAACATTCTGACTTTGTGAAAAGGAATTATCTATTAATCTTACATTTCTTCATTATATAATTGCCTGATTTGTTAATATTTAAAGGAAAGCTTGCCATGGGCCACCACAGCCTAAAAAATTAATGGAAAAAAAAACAATATGTTATCAGACTTCATACAGCCATAAACTTTTTTTTATTCAATAACTATCGAAGCTTATGCTTACTGTAACATTCAAATCACAAGTCCTATAAACGTCAACCTCCTAGGGCTGGGGATATATTTAAAAAAAAACTATATCTCGATATTGTCAATTTTTATGATATTTGATATATATCTCGATATGTTTGCATTTGCTTTTAAATCATAAAAAAATTATGACAATATGAATTGTTACAAAGTAAATACAAAATGTTTAGTGCAAATTTTAGCAGTTAAAAAAATCTAGACCAAGTGATCACTTACTGCATTTTATTAAATGAACACGTGTATTTGTAACTGAAGTAGCGCAAAACAAGTACAGAAAGTGCATTCTGTCAACTTGTTTGGTGCATGCAATTCACAATTTACACTGTGCAACTGGGGGAAATAATTAAACTGGGATAAGTATTTTTTACACTTTTTTAGCTAAGAACACAAGTCTGTGAACTGTCTCTGGTTTAAGAGAAGCTCTGTGGCATGAAACTATGTTCCCCACAGACTGGTTGAGTGACACTTTAATTTAGATCGCTAAACTCCAGCTTGTTTGTTGGCGTTTCAGATCATCGCGGCGGCGCTTCCGCAATGAGGAGCGAGCGTGTGCGCATGGTTGCCAGATTGCTTAAAATAAGCAAAACACTGGGCAGAAAATGTATGCTTGTAACAGTGAAGCTCTGATTTGGGGATTTGAACTATTGATATCTGGCAACCGCACTCATGAAAGCTCGTGTAGTAGAAGCGTGTAGAGCAGTCTGCAATAACATGTTGTCTCCTTTTTTGGACGTTCGGCGCGTTCTTTTAGGAAAGTATGCTTGAATTTGAAATATTCAATATTCACAATATTTTCAAATTTTACATCGTCGTCAAAATTATTGCGATATTATCGCTAATATTCGATATATCGCCCAGCCCTACAACCTCCCACAATTATCTGACCGGCAATGGGGAAAACTGACAACACAATTTATAGAATAACATTTCTGTTCCACTGGCCTTATCAAACAGAACTGCTTGCCAAACAAACAGATAATCTTTTTGTGCAAGTTTGGTGCACAGAAATTACAATTTATCTTTAAAATTGAAAAATTACAAAGAAGCAGCTCTAATAACCTGAAAGACCAGGAAGTTTCTGGCCTTGATGAGGATTCCCAGTTTCTCCAGTTCATCACTGTATTCAGACAGACCCACCACTTTATTATTGATGCGGTACTCTGATGAGGAACCTACACAAGACAAACAGAAAGCAGGAAAATGAATGATTCTTAAGAGACAAGAGCATTCTGAACACTCCATTCTATGGCTGCACAATTAATCAGAAAATCGTCTACTCCTGTGGTCTAAAATGACCTACTTGTAGCATGTTTTTGAATCAACTGAACATTGCAGTCAATCACAGACATGTCAACTGTGCGTAGGGCTATGCTATTATTTTAATTTTAGTTTTGATTTTGACTTCCAATGATTATGAAAACACGATAATTTAGATGAACTGTGCCGCTTTCCATCTCTTTCCTTTAAAAGCAGTGTGCCGTCGCCCCTTCTTAAAAGCCCAAACTTAATGTCCAAATCAGTCAAATCATGTAACGTAGCTGTCATAAAATGCAGTCTACTGTGGGACATGCTTTATTTAAAAAAAAAAATTAAAAAAAAAGTGTTATTAAAAGCATCTGAAAAGGTCCAACCTACTGGCGTGCAGTCACTTAACGGCTGACACCTTTCTACACCAGATGAGAGTGTTTTACATTTAATTGCATCCCGAATCTTGAATCTCTTTCAAATACAGAAATTATCTTATTTATTTATCTTATTAGATTATCAATCTAATCTTATTGTGCCTGATCAATTGAAATAATGGCAAAAATTTTGCAAAGATATCAAAAATGGCAATGAGAACTCTTACATTTCAAGATACCTAAAATGTTAATATTGTAACAGTTACTTATTTTGTCATTTTGGTCAGATCGCCCACTCCTAGCATGAAGTCAATGAGTAACTGCAAATATCCGTGATCTCAATATTGTCCATAAAATCTTTTTTAGATTTCTGTCGCAATTGAGCAGCCCTAATTTTAATTTGGTCACACTTTAGTTTGGAGACCAATTCTCACTTATTAACTATGACTTTTGCCGCAATAAACTTCAAATTTGCTGCTTATTAATATTTTGTAATGTAGTTGTTGTTTTGGTATGGGGTGGATTAAGGGATCTAAAATATGATCATACAGAATAAGGCATTAAAGGCACAGTAAGTGATTTCTGGTAGCCAATGTTGATATTTGAAATCACCAAAACAAACACGCCCCTACCCCAAAAGGGTCTTGCCCCTATTTTGATAGCTCCGCCCCACATATACGTACGCAACCCAGGCAACGATTAGTTCTGTGAAACAATGCAAGTAGTTAATAGTGAGAATTGGTCCCTAAACTAAAGTGTTACCTTTAATTTAAATTATATTAATCTAGATTAATAAATCATAAGTAGAATAAAAAGGAAAAAAACAATCAACAAATACAATTTTTGTCATAATCATGCAGCCCAAGTGCCGACTACTAATTTTGTTATTGTAAAACCACAACATAATGCTTCCAAAGTGTGTGAAGTACCTATGATGATTCTGGAAAATGAAAGCTCCTGTCCATTGTCCAACTGGTACACCATGGATACGAATGCTCGGTTAGCTGCAGGTTTACCCACTGGAGCTCCATGAATCAAATCCTTCAATGTCTTTACACGCAAGTTACTGGTCTTCTCTGCCAGAACAAAGCTGATAGCATCCATGAGATTTGATTTGCCTAGGAATAAAAAGTTTGCATTAGATAAACATTTTTTTAAAATCTCAAAAAGCTTAGAATGCAAAATACAACACAATGTTACGGACAGATGTAATTCAGCACAGAATAAAAAATAAACACTGAAGAAAAAAAACTTGACAATCCTTGACTTGAAATATTCTCAAATCATGCTGGATAATAATCAATTTTAAGGGCAGATAAGATCATTGCTTTTAACATTGTGATTTGGCTGCTACTACTGAGTGTAGTGATACAAGTGATGGTTCAGTATGTTTTTGTTACAACAGATGGAACAACATAAGTAGGTGCACTTTCACTGCATCAGCCGCAAAGTGTGAAATCCACAACCCAATTGTGTGTGTGTGTGTGTGTGTGGGGGGGGGGGGGGGGATGTATATATTTGTATTTTATTTTTATTTATTTATTTATTGAATTGTTATATAACCAATAAAACTACCAATAGTCTATATTATTTTGACTGTTTAATTTGAATTGGAAAAATATGCTTTTCTATTACCTGCTATTACCTTGCTTTTTTATTATTATTATTATTAATAATAATTTATTTGTGACAGTATAAATTTTTTTAACCAGTGTATGGAAAACAAGCTAATGTGCATTCTAAAAACCTCAACACTTTGGATAATAAGGTATCATATGTTTATGGAGCCTATAAAATCAAATGCCTATAACACACTTACCTGATCCATTCGGCCCTATAATCGCTGTAAACTTGTGGAAAGGCCCGATTATCTGTCTGCCTTTGTAAGACTTAAAGTTTTCTATCTCTATTAACTTTAAGTAGCCCATGATGAATTATTTAATCCGAAGAGTTTGATAAAAATGAAATCGTCAAAATGTTAAGACCGCCGACTGCTAACGTTAGCATGAAAAAAGAGAGCGGGATAAAATTAATCTTAACTCAGAGCACGACGAATACAGACAACGACAGACTAATATTTCTCTAGAACAGCCTGCACTTCAAAGCAGAAAAAATAAAATTAAACTATTAATATATAATTGTGTTTTCGTTATAAGTAAAACAAGCAGACAGAAACCTGCTATAGCGCGCGCGCGCGATAGCTGTTCCATAAACAACACATGTCGCGAGATGTCGTCGTCTTCTTCTGTGTTTTTTTGGCGGATCGCATACCGACTTTTTAGGTGCATTCTGCCTCCTACTGTACTGGAGTGTGAAGTGACCAGTCTAAGCGTATGTGTTTTTAAACATAATGAACAAAATACACATCTATAATGGTATTGATGAATGCAAATGAACTAATATTAAGTAAGGCACGTAAACAAATAAATAATAAAATGACATATATTTGAAGAAATATAAGAGTCTCTTCATTCTGTTTCTAAAAACCATACCTCTTTATTATTCCAACAATTTTCTGAGTCTTTTTAAATTTTCATTTATTCCAATAGTGGAAAGTAGTTACAAATAAAGTCTCTTTCTTCAACTTTTGAATACAGAAAAAGATTTGTATTTTTGTCTTCATACATTTGCATTTATGAACCAAAAAAATAAATAAATTAATTAATAAATATATTTTCTAGCAAAAGTGGTCAGCGACTCAATCTTTGTCTCCGACCAATAATACATTTTCCCAGAGAATACTTGAGTAGCCTACACACACAGTCTAGGTGTACATGATGAGATCTAGATTATATACTTAAGTTCACTGTTCTTAATAAACTTTAAAACTTTAAATTTTGACCAGATCCTTGTTTTGTGTTCAACCCTTATGCTCTGTTGGAGGCCATTTGAGACCCAAATTGGCGTTTGCTGAAAATGAGATTTCATGACTTTGTCAGCACTTGCTCACTCTAAATAAATGAATAAATAGGAAGAAAGGAAAAAGATATCTGCTTGTGTTTTGATATATGTTTTGTGAAAAAGTGTGAAAAAAGTCCCACCAAATCATTCATAATAAATGAAAAAGTGAGATGGCACATGCTGCTCTCTCTTCTTTTGAAATAAAAAAATCAGCATTGTGACACAACAATGTCGACAAAGTCCACAATGGAGAACAAATGCAAACACACACATATATACACATATAACACCATGTTCAGGTTTGATTGTAATTTGTAATGTGTCATAATTGTCAAAAAAAAAGATACTTTAGTGCAAAAAAAGCTACATTTAAAAAACAAACAAAAAAACTACATCTTTTACTATACTATACATTGTACAAAAAAATTACATTTACTATAAACTTAAAAAATTAACATAAATCCTCCCAAAACTGCATAAATGTAGATGAAAAACATTAAAGTGAGTGATATTACATTAATATTACATTACAAAATTCAATACAATACAATTGTATTGAAACAATACAAAATCACAGTAAAATGTGATTTTGTAAATCATGTTACAAAATCACATTTGTCTCGGGAGTGTAAACCCTAAACGAACAGCGAATAAATGGTAATAAGTTGCTGATTGTAAATTCTGCATCCTATATTCTGTAGTTCTCTTTGTAGTTCATTCTTTTGTTTGTAGGACAGAATAACAGCACATGATCAAACCGTTTCCTTTTCTTGGCAGAGCTCGCATAATCCTGTACTGTGTTTATATATTATACGATGTGTAGAATAAAGTTTTGTATGAGCCATCCTTATTCTTGTTAAAATGATCTTCTCTACTTAAATTGTGAATAATTTTATTTTGTCTTATGCTGTTTTGTGTATTATAAAAATATCTTCCTGTTCTACTGTCCTTCCAATTTTCTTGCAAGCTGCTTCGACTATACTTTACCCTTCCATTCTGTATAATAAAACTGTAACAGTAGGATTATTCTGTTTAAGTGCCTCTTTAGCCATTTTATCATATTTTTCATTTCTTGGTATATTAAAATGTGCTGGTACCCATACAAAATGAACTATTATTCAAGTTTGTCTTAATCTAAATAATAAATTAATTGTTTCTATAAAGATAGCATTACTAAATGTTTAAAATATTTGATGGCTTATAAGTGATGCCATTGAATCAGAACAAATCACAACCTTAAAACGTATTTAACTTTTTCTACCCAACAAAGAATTGCCACCATTTCTGCAGTATATACTGAAATCCCATCTTTTGACCTCCCATATTTTCCTAGTTTGAAGTCTGTCACATAGAATGCTACTCCTGTATAACCGATCTCTGGATTTCTTGAGCCATCTGTGTATATTGAAAAGAATGTAAATAATAATAGTAATATGTCTCATAATGGTTTAAATTCTGGCACTCATAGACATGAAGAATCACAAACATCACAGCAAAAAAATCACAACAAAAATAAAAGCAAATAGTAAGAATAAAAGAAAATCCTAAAACAACACAACAGCATATGTTATTCATGTCGCAATGCATGCTGGGAGCCATGGATGAGTGCATCACCCAGAAAGCACTGCAACATGAATCTGTCAAACTAAAGCAAACGCTTATCTCCACAACGGTGTCTTCAAATTGTATTCTTTCCAATAAACATTTACATCTAAACCTCTGTTAATTCTTAATAAGAAATAAGAAATTTTTTGATGCATGACAAAAAAATTCAAACTGGTTAGTAATGTGTGAAGCAGGTGATGCTGTTTGTGGATTTGTTTAATCATCTTCTCCTGAGATCTTGGGAGATTTAATGTCTTTTATTTCAGTTGATTTCATCTAAGGCTGTGGCTGAAGTCAGTTGTAGTTCTTGTGTTTCTCTTTTCTTCAGTGATTCTGCTTGTTAACAGCAGGTGTTCATTACTAATGATCAATCAGCACTTAATTAATCACATAATTATCTCATTAACTTTAATACTGCTTCAGTGGATTTCAAAGAGTGTTAAACACCTCAACAAACAGCTTTACCAGCTTCATGCATTTCTAACCAGACTGACTTTATTTCTGTCAGAAGTCTACAGAAGATCTTATTGAGAGTTACAGCGGTTTAGAGGATGATGTTTTATTGTTTCGTTTGACGTTACCATTGTGGAGATCAGTGTTTGCTTTAGTTGGGCTCCTGACCCATGACTTCTGAACATTATTTTTTGTTTGATTGTTGTAACAGTGTCTCTAAGATGCATTAGTTTAAAATGCACAGGACAAAACTCATTCATGTTTCTCAACAAGCATTGCTGCATAAAGAAATTATGCTGCTGAGTTGCCCACTTATTTTCTTGAATTCTTACTATGTGTTTTTGTGTTGAGTTTTAGTGGCATGTTTTGTGTTGTTTACAATTGATATGTTTATTTATTTTGTGGATTGGCACCATTGTTGAGATTCATGCACTGATTCTTGATGCGTGTGTGTCTAAACTACAATGAAGCTTTTCTTTATTGAGCGATGTGTTTTAACGGTCTGTCATGATTGCTCAGCAGTGCTTGTTCACCGGTTATAGTAACAATATTCAGTAAGCGATGAGACACGGGGTAAAACCAGTGAAACAAGAGCAATCAGTGATTGTTCTTACCAACCTGTAGACAACACCAGATTTTTTTTTGCCACAAAAAACATGATAAAAAAAAACATTGTTACAGTAGTGAAAGAAAAGTCGATGTTAAAAAGTTGATGTTAAGAAGTCAATGTTCAAGAGCTCAACTAAAGTAAACACTGATCTCCATCATGGTAGTGAAAAAGAAAAAAACATTTAAACCTCTTCAACTCTCAATAAGATCTTCTGTAGATGTCTGACAGAAATAAAGCCAGTCTGGTAATAAGTGAAGCTGGTAATGCTGTTTGTGGAGTTGTTTAATCAGATCTTGAGAGATTTAATGTATTTTATTTCAGTTGATTTCATCGAAGGCTGTGGCTGAAGTCAGTTGTAGTTCTTGTGTTTCTCTTTCATTCAGTGATTCTGCTTGTTAACAGCAGGTGTTCATCACTAATGCACAATCATCACTTAATTAATCACAAAATGATCTCTTCAGCACTGCTTCACTGTTACTTTAACACTCTGTAGTGTGGACACATTAAGGCGCGGTTTCACAGACAGGGCTTAGACTAAACCAGGATTAGGCCATAGTTCAATTAGGAAATTAAAGCAATTTTTATAAACGTGCTTAGAAAAAAAACATTACTGGTGTGCTTTTTGAGACAAAACAAAGGGACTGATATATTTTAAGATCAGTCAGTGCAAGTTTCTTTCAGTTCAAACAGTTCAGACTTACATTTTAGTCAGGACTAGGCTTAAGCCCTGTCTGTGAAACCGGGTGTAAAAGTGTTAATTTAAAACTGAGGTTTTTTCTGTGGTGTTTAAAGGGATAAAGATGTAAGATGAAAAAACAGCATAAAACGTAATCTAACAGTAATAAACTGTAGAAAAACAGTAACACGCTGGCAACCAGAGCTGCCAGTAGATTACTGTTAATTCAAGGAAAAACAATTTCACTAAAATATTAGAAAATGCTCATTGAAAAAAAGTTATGCAAAGTCATGAACTGATAATGAGAGTAAATATTTAACTGAACTGTAGTAATGTGTTTTTGCACAAGAGAGATCTGTTAGTTTAATTTAGTTTTGTGGGTCACCATTGTGCTGGAGAGTAGGGCCTGTGGTTCAGTCAATGATGAGCAACATATAGACTTGAATTCTTTTCATTTGCTTAAATTGCACTAGCATAGTGCTTTTGTTAACAGAAGCACTTTTTTAAGTTTCAAATGCTTAAAGCTTTAACATAACTTCATGGGTATAAATCTCCTATAGTGCATTAATATTAGTCTTTGTCAGTGTTTTCATTCATATGTTAGAAACATTTTTCATATGGACAAGCTTTAGTCTTAACATTGTATGAACCGACTTTCTCTTACAGAGAAAAAACGTTTTCAGCATATGTGGGCTATTATTGCCTTCAGTTGCTTAGTTGCACTAACATAGTGTTATTGTTCACAGAAGCACTAAACTAAGCTTCTTATGCTTAGACACTCTAAAATAACTTCATGAGCATAAAATTCCTAACACTTTAAAATCCCTCTTTCTGCATTGCAAATTACATTTCATTTCATATGTTAGAAACATCTTTCATGAGGGCAAGTTTTAGTCTTAACATTGCATGAACCAACTATATCTTACAGAGAAAGAAGGTTTTCATCATATGTGGGCTTGCATTC